AGGGGTATATCAAAACTCGTTACTATTTCAGAGAATAAAATGCATTTAATCTTTAAAATAAAATTAATAATTTATTGATAATGACTGTGAAAAAAGAGAAATTTTAACGTTTTAAAATAAGAATTTTGTGTCTTAAAAAAAACAATCGTTAATTAAAATAAAATAAACATTTTGTTGATAGTGACATGTTAGAGAAAGAGAAATTTTGATATTTAAAAATAAAAAATTGATATCTCAACTAATAAAAATTATCTATTAAAATAAAATAGTTATTTTTCTGATAGTGATCGGTGAGAATTGTGTTTATGACTATTGAGTATTATCCAATTTCATAAAATAAATTCGAAAATTTATTAAAATTTAAAAAATATATTAATTAACATTTTTAATAATAATAAATAAATAGAATTGATTAAATTTATTATAAAAACAAAACTAAATTTTAATATTATATACATTCATAAACTAATAAATATTTAATATGATAATTATATATTATAATTATGTATTTTAATATATTAAAAATAATTAAGAGAAGATAAAATAATTAGATAGAAAAGATAAACAATGAAATGAAAAGAGAAAAAAATATAAAAGAAAAATGATTTTAATTTGCAAGAAGAATGAAATTGTGAGTGAAAGAGCGAGAAATAGAGAAAAAATAAAATTTTAAATGGGCCAAATAAAAACTTTTGACACTTTATAGCATTTGATTGAAATAGAATGAATTAATTAGGAGATTGGTTTTTTGAAAAGAATTATTAAAATGAATAATGAATATGTAAATTCATACATGACTTCACATTAATAGATTAATAAATAATATCTTGAATACTTATATATATATATATATATATATATATATATATATATATATATATATATATATATATATATATATATATATATATATATATATATATATATATATATATATATATATATATATATATATATATATATATATATATATATATATATATATATATATATATATATATATATATATATATATATATATTGGATATGAAGTCATGAATATTGTTTATAAATAAATTGTGGTACCTGTAGGTAACTTAAATTATGTGATCCATAAATTTAAATAATGTAATGGATGAAGAGAGAGTGGTAATTATATGGGAGGAGAAATATAAGTTTAAATAGATTAGACACGTGGGGAAAGGAGATTGTTTGTGAAGTGCAAAAAATTATATTGATATATAAAATGTCCCATTTGACCTTTGGTGTGTATAATTATTTTTATTATAAAAGAATAATTTTGGGTTAATGTGTGACATTTTCTTTTAATGGATACCAATGTGTGACATTTTCTTTTAATGGATACCAAAGAATAATTTTCATTAACCCAAAATTATTCTTTTAATGGATACCATTTGAATGAGAGAATGAAGTTTTGTATTAGAACTCATGTATACTTTCATGAATGAGAGAATGAAGTTTTGTATTAGAACTCGTGCATACTTAATTTGTATGGTGTTTTCACTCATTGAATTACAAAATGAGACTTCACTACTTATATAGTTAGGATCCTTAAGAGGTAGTTATAATTAACTTTGAGTTGGTTATCCTCTCTAACAACTTACCTATGTTACACAAGCATATTCATAACTATAGCCATGCATGTTGAACACACACATGATTGATCTTCTTCTAATATGTCTCACAAAAATTCATGGTGGTTTGAAAAAGGATATCTTGAGCTTATCCATAAAGTCTGTAAACATAGCAGTTGGTAGAGGTTTTATCAATGCATCAACTATTTGAGCGTGTGCAGGGATGTGCATAATTTGTAGCGGGTTTGCCACAACTTTCTCACGGACAAAGTGGAAGTCTGGCTCGATGTGCTTGATGCGTGCATGAAAGATATGGTTATAGGAAAGTAGCACAACACTAATGTTATCCTAGAGCAAGGTAAGCACAAGGTAATCAATCTTGAGCTCGGAGAGAAGAGATTGAAGTCATAATAGTTCAGTGATGGTGTGAGCTAAGGCACGATATTCAGCTTTCGCACTTGATCATGCAACTAATACTTGTTTCTTGGAATTCCACGCCACAAGATTTGAACCAAAGAACACACAAGATCTTGAAGTGGAGCGTCGATCATCAGGGTCACTAGTCCAATTAGAATCACTGTAGGCGCATAGAGAATTTAGGAAGGTGTTGAGCTGGTGCAAGAACAAGCCCATATGTTGTTGTGCCACTCAAGTAAAGCAGAATGTGTTTCACCGCGGATCAATGAGATTCTGGTGGTGTTGCCATAAAATGACACACTTTGTTAACAAAAAAAGATATCATGTCGGATAAGAGACACATATTGTAAGACATCAATTATGAATCGATAGAGTTGAGGATTTGAGATGATATTAGTACCATATTTGCTTAATTTGCTTTGATTAAACATGGGAGTAGAAATCCATTTTCTCCAGTCATGTCGACCTTGGATAGGAGGTCTCAAATATATTTTGTTTGTGTAAGAAGAAGGGAGCAATTGGCTTGATGAAGATCTTCAATGCACAAGAAATATTGAGGAGTACCATTTTGCTTGAGTGTAAATTTGTCATGAAGTTTGTTGATGAGTGTATATATTAGTTTGGATAATGAGCCAGTGATGAGGATATCATCCACATACACAGGTATATATAATGTATTATTATGATGGTTGCAAAGAAACAATGGATGGTCACATCTGCTAGAGGCAAAGCCAAATTGAATCAGTACATGATGTAATTTTTCATACCAGGCTCGGGGGGCTGTTTGAGGCCATAGAGCGCCATTTAAAGCTTGCAAACTAGCTGAGTATTTGATTCAATGAAGCCTGGTGGTTGCTCCATGAAAACTTCTTCCTAGAAGTCACCACTTCAAAAACACGTTTTTGATACCCACTTGTTGAATTTTCCACTTAAAAGTGAGATCCAAAGTCAAGATGACACGGATTGTTGTAGGTTTCACAACTGTTGAAATGTCTCATATAAGTCAAAATCATATTGTTGGTGGACGTCTTTCGCCACTAGGCTATCTTTATACATGTTGACACTACCATCTGGATTTTCTTTTGCCTTAAAAACTCACTTGCACCTAATTGTTTGCTTTTAGAAGGAAGAATGGTTAACACCCATGTTCCATTCTTGATTAAGGAATCATATTCATCTTTCATTAGTGCAAACAATGGAGGTTCTAACAAGGCCCGCTTGACTAAGCTTGGTTCAGAATGAGTTAAGAACACTTTAGGTTTTGAGATACCAGTTTTAGCTCTAGAGATCATAGGATGAGCATTTTTCACCAATGAAATAGAGGAAACCTAATCATGAAATGAAGAACTCAAGGAACTGGTGGAGACTGAGCTAGTTGATGTATGTGTATTATCATGAACTGACTCATGACAAAGAAACTTAAGGCTCAAGTTAGTAAGAGGCTCATCAGATGGTGAAGTGATGTCATTTTCAGTTGCCACTATATTTTCATGAGAGAAAGGAGGGTTATGAGATGAGGAGGTGGTGTCAGAAACACGAGAAGGCATATTTGGTGGTGAGATAATGTCATTTGGTTCTCTGTCAATAGTTTGTGCTAGAGATATTATGTCAATGGTAGGTGACATATCTAAGGGAATGAAAATGTGACTTTCATGAAATAGAGTCTGATGCATTTATGGTTTAGAACTTGTTGACTCAACTAGTGTGAAGGTGTTTTAAAAAGGAATGTCATTTTCATTGAAGGCCACATCTTTAGAAATAAAGATTTTGCCTTTCATGACTATGCATTTGTGAGTAAGGGAGACACTTAGGTATATACATCTGATACTCATGAATTATAATTTGTGTCGATTGTATGATATTGAGTGAGAGAAACACGCACGACCACAAATTTTCAAGACATCATAGTCAGGTTTCTTTTGATAAACGATTGAGAAGGGTGACACATACTCACTATGAGCACTTGTAGGTTGCCTGTTGAATAAGTAAACAATTGTAGTGAAGCTATGATATCAAAATGAAATAGACAAAAATGCATGAGCTAGTAGAGTGAGTCCCATCTCAATTATTTATCTACGTTTCCTTTCAATCGTTCCATTTTGGTGTGAGGTGTGAGGACAAGTTAATCTATGCCCAATTCCTTATTTTTGAAGCAACCTAGTGAGGGGCTTGAATTCTCCACCAAAGTCATACTGGATGGCCTTGATTTTATCTTGCAATTGTGTTTCCCTTGATTTTATCTTGCAATTGTGTTTCCACATATTTCTGAAACAGTTTGAATGCAGAAATGGCATCACTCTTCTGCTTGAGAAAGTATATTCAAGTGCAATATAATAGGTGTAGCCACCACTTGAATGTGATGGAGAGCATCCCCATAGGTTAGTATGAATAAGTTCAAATAAGTGAATGTAATTACATAAATCAACAACATTTTTATTACTCATAGGGATTTTACAAAGTTGAGATATGCTTTAAAAAAGAATGATAAAAGAGAAAAGAATAGAAAAATTTCGGTTGAAATTTTTTTGTTTAATAATCATAACACAATTTCTCTAATTTGAGGGAACTAAAAGATTACATTTGAAGAGAGTTTTGGAGGGCTTATTCAAATTGTTGCCACACCTACACTGAAACATTTTAAAGCTGGTAAGAGGATACTGCAATTTTGAAGGATTCTCTAGGGAAAGGGATTACGTTTTCTAATGATCACTACCTTCAAATGCTTGCTGATTGGATTGGTTGTCTTTATAGTCTCAATTGAATCAGTCCTCGTTCATTTTTCATAGGTCAATCACTCGGCAGACAGAGATCCAAAAATATAGTTCACGATGTTCTTCTTTTGAAGTGGAGTAAAATAACAGATAGCAAAACATTCACATATAAAAATAATAATCACAATAGAAAAGTTGGCATCTATATCACAAATCAATTTTTGATTTACATAGCCAAAACATGCATGCACACATACAAAATCCCTGGGTTAATAAACCAACCCAGGAGGAAAAATATTTAAAACACTTCAGATACTTTGCTTGCAAGAACACGCTCCCTTCTTTCAGTGTAACTGAATGGAAACCAGCCTGCTCTGCCTTTGCATTCACCCTCGGCCCATCCGTTGTTTGTCACCTGTTGAAAACACAACAGACATATTGGGGCGACAAGAAAATCGGACCTTTTTTTTCCTTTCAAAATGATGCTAAGCTAATAGATGGTGAACCACAACTGCTTGAATTGGAACACTCTAGATACATCATAAATAGACGGTCAAACAAATCAATGATAATGTAATCATGTTTTGATTCCATATTAAGTTATCATGCTGTCTTAAGCTTAAATGCATCTTCACTAAGATATAATGGAATAAATCATTTTTACTTATGTTATTCCTGCATCAGTTTTGAAACTTCTTTTAATTTGTTACCAATTTACCGTAAGCGAAATGATGATTGAAATTACGAATCAATAACCCAAAAGAGAGAGATATATAAGCCATCTTTGGTTCATATAAGAAAACTATAGTTATACTTAGATTCAGTAAACTACAAACCTTTCGAATGACAATATAATCACCAACAGATAGATTCAGCTCCACTTCAGATACAGCAGAGTATGGGAATAAAACCTGCATGAAGAGTAAATAAAAGTTACCAAGGAGAAAGCAGCTACTTGTTTTACAACTTTTAATATCTCTGTGACCCTGTGTATAAGAAAAGGTCTCTTAATAACCTCTCCTAAGAAGTAACCCATGCTATCTGTTGATCCATTATGTGTCTGAGAAGCATAAACATCATTCACTTCTTCATATGGCGGGGGTGGTGGCATGTTGTTATCCACACTAGGAGTAGGAGGGGCTTCAATTCGTTGTCTTTCAGATATCATCTATCATTAAATATACATGTAGCACAAAATCGTACATTTATAACATAGAAAACATTTATAACATAAAAAATTATCGATATATAAATTGGAATATTTGACTTCTCTAAACAAATCGAATAGCAAAATGATAAAACAAATGAGTGCTTACCTCTCCCTCAAGTTGATCAAGAGTTTGTAGGACTACTTGGTGATAGGCACGCTCCGCTTCAACCTTCGTTAGTAGAAATAAAATGTGTGAATAATTAGAAGTTATGATCTGTTATGACTCAACTGACTTGAAACAGTTGAGCTAAGAGTTAGAAGGAGTTGGAGGTCTAGGTATGAAGTCCTGGCAAAGGTGTAAATATATTCTAAGAATTAACCGCTAAAAATTTTCCATTAAAAAAAAGATCTCTTATAACTAAGATCCAAAATTTCATTGAACTGAAGAACCACAGTCATAAGGAAAAGCTGCAATACCATAGCTATAAGACGTTGAAGGGTTAACCTCTGCTGCTGTGCTTCAACAGCAGCCAATGCTGAAGCTGCTTCCTTTCCCAATATAGTCATGTTTGCCTTCAGGTCTTGTAGCTTTGCTTCCGCTGCTTCTAATTTCATAGCATTCTCAGAATTGCCTGGCATTTCTCTTACTTTTGCTTGGCGCTTAGAAACTTCAATAGCCTGTCAAGGTTCAATAGATAGAGTAAATACAAGTCAACATAGGAAAATACAATCATTCATAAAACATGTACTGAAACACAGGAGAAGACAGATTACAGAGTGGATGAGAAATTTAAACGGAAACAACAAATTTTTGAAAGTCAAATGAACCATAAATCCCATAATACCTGGGCTTCAGCATCCTGTCGCATTCGATCATAACGTTGAGCGAGATGCCGAGCATCCTCCAATGGAGCTCCCATCACCATTGCCCTTAAGGGTTCTGCAACCTAGCATAGAATACAATTTCAATCAGAGTTATTAGGCTTAGATGGAAATCACACACTGGAAAATAAACAATCCAAGCTACTATTACAAATAGAGACATCCTTTTGGACAAACCTTTACTTTGTGAAAACATTTTCCGTTTTCATTTTCTAAAATATGCGCCTATTTTAATTAGCAAATAAGAAGATAAATGCTCTTGAAATGAACCATTGTGATGGAGATAAGATGAAATGCTAGTTAAGGATGTTGCATTTTTGGAAATAATGAATTTTGGCCTTTTTATTGTTTCTAAAAAATCCACACAATTGTTCAATCCAAGAGTCTAGTATCTTCTTGTTAGCAAGTAAAATTCACACAAATTATAGGAAACAAAAAGAGAAAATGTTTTCACAAAGTAAACAGGGCCCGAGCTTTCCAAACAATGATCAGTTCTGTAAATCCCATTCATATTCAGTAAAACAGATCAGTTATGAGAAAAACAAACATCGTTATTTCTGCCAGTCACATTTGAACATCAAAATCTTGCAATTACATGTAGCTGCTTGATGAACTCATACATAACAAGCCACAAACACACAATTAACCTGTGTACCAAGAGCTTTTAGTAAGTTTCCACGCTCCTTCTCCATTTGGGCACGAGCTCGCGCATAACTTAGTGCAGCCCTGCACAATGTACCCCCACTGGTACACGTATTTTCCGCACCATATTTCCTATTATCTTCTGACAACTTTGTTCCTATTTAATGAAAAATATATAAATATTTTATGCAAACTAATTGTATTTAAACCTATACAGAAGCTTCATTAACCAACATTACTTACTAACTTACCTATTTCAACTTGCTTGGATCCCGTAACAATATAACCTTCTACTCCACGAACAAGGTCCCTTTGATAATGCTGAAAATGAACAGTTTCCATTATCAGCCTCGTAGAGATGCAACAAATTAAGATGAAATTCAAATCTAAATAAAGGATCAGATCACCATCAATCAGCAAACTAACCTTCCCCGCTCGTGTTGATATATAAAGCTTCTCAAGTCTCTGATGTAGGTGAAGCTCTCTCTCATCAGTAACCATGTTATCTGAACCTCCATAACCACCGCCACCAAACTGTTTCAAAACAGCCTAGAATAGCAATATTTCAGATTTTCATCAACACCTTGATGAACAAAGCAATCAAAACCAAACAACAACTAAGAGACAAGAACAAAAAAAGTTTTAAAAACAAAAAAAAATTAAAATTAAAATTAACTGTGATATTTACTAGCTATGAAGACGAACACCGGAAATACAACACTGACACTAACATGTTGAAACCAGTAATAATTTGAAAAAAATGAATAAATCAAACATAATTACAAGTGTTGGTGTCGGCTTTGGAGACGGACACTGCATGACGCAATAGACACAGACATGCCTTTTTTTTTTCAGAGGTGCCGGTGGTATAGAGTTTACTAGTTCGCAAATAAGCATCGCTCAGTGATTTCAAAATCAGCTACATAGTTAAATGCATAAGCAAAATATACAAGCTTAAAATTCAACTTCAATCTATAGCAAATTGATTTATGCAATGTAAGTGTGGAATTCGGTTAGATCCAATAGTATTAAGCGTTTCAAATTCACGATAACAACAATCACAATGCTATAAAATCGAAACTAAACTATAATCGCGAAATATCGAAAATCGGTACAATAACAGATTAGCGAAAACAGCGGCATGAGAGGAAAACTGTAAGAACGTGAAATGGATTTGAATGGAAACAATGAAGAAACGGAAAGATCTGAAGAAGAAATTTGAGATAGGTTTTTATACGAACCTGTTGTTGGCGAGCGACTTGTTCTCGAAGCTTCGAAGCTTGTTTTCTGATAGCATCCATTTGACTGAATCGAATCTGAAACTAATCAGAGTGAAGAGTTTCGTTTTACACCTCAGATTCACCAGAAAAACGAGATTTCAGAAGTGAATTCATTTGGATCCTTCCTCGAGAAACTTGGTTGTTTCGAAAATATTATATTTTATTTCAGAAAAATACTATTATTATTTTTTGAATTAAAAAAGTATATAAAAGATGTTTTTTTTTAGTTACCAGCTAGCGCTCGTAGTAGTAGAAGTAGATGGATGATGATTCAACGGATAATTTTGCTGTGGCCTCGTTAACATGTAAGCACGTTTGTTTCTAATGGAAAGAAGGGAAATTATTTATTTATTTTTTACGATAAGATAAAGAAGGGAAATTTGTTAATGAAAATATGTTTTTTTTAATTTGGAAGAGAAGATGTAAGAAGAAAGTAAGTTGAGCTAGAAAATGATATACAATAAAAATAAACTTTCATTCAAGAAATAATTTTATTCACTCACTTCTTTTTAGGGAAGTTCATGGGGTATTTTTCCTTAATAAAAAATCACAATCGTCTCTAAAATTCAGAGATATATTTTTATATGCTAAAATGTTGATAAATAAATAAAAATTTAAAAAATTGAGTCTTATGGATGGATATTCAACATATCACTACACTTTATTGTTGAGTAAGACATTTCTAAAATTGCATTTAAATGCCCTATTTCACTTGAAACTCTCAAATAGACCATGATGTCATTTAGGTTAAAATATGCAGAAGCCACTTATCAAAGGCTTGTGAATTAGTTCTTAGATGATTTTTTATTTCTTTTGATTTCATTTAGATCTTATATTAATGATATTGTTGTTAAGTCCATGTCTTAACACGCTTAAGAACTCCGTTCGAATTTGATAATGTTGAGTAACTGCAGAGAAATTCTTGGGAGTTCCTAATCCACGAATTAGTGCCAAGCCAACTTTAAAATTGATTGCTTAAAATAGCCCATTTGAAATTAGCGACACGATTCAAAGTCTCGGTTCTAAAGCAAGCACTTGTTGGCCAACATTTCAGGATTTCCAATGAAGTTGATCCTAATTGATCCAAACATAGTGATTCCTGCCCTGATAACCACCGTGCTTTGTTGATTTTTGATTCGTAGCAGTAACATCCAAAAGGAACAATCCCATTCATAACAAGTTTAATTTAACAAAAACCTTTAGCTTAAACACTATATCCAACTATGGCTTCACATATTCTATGATAAACTCTTCTAGCTGAGATATCTCTCCAGTTAAACCAGAAGCATCTGCAGTTGTAACTTTGTTAGAGCACTGAGTAAAGGAAAATGGTTCGCCGGCTACTCCCAAAGTGAATTCATTTGTAACGTCAGCTTCTGAAACTGCACTTCTTGATGACCGTAATTTGTCACTGAAAAAAGGATAATGAGTCAATAATAGAGTTAAAACAAACCAAACATTTTATTGGGTGTGAAGACAAATGACTGAAACAGTTTAAGACTTGAAGCCATACATTTCTTTCTCGAGCTGTCTGCGGATGAATTCTTTAGTGTGAGCAGTAACTTTGTCTGCTTTGTTGCAGAGGATAAGCAGAGGAATCTTCTTCCTCACAACACTTCCCTTGGTCAATAGATCATATAGGTACCTTCACTCGTAAAATAAAATGTCAGTCTCTTTGCAATTCCCAACCCCTTCTTCCTCAAGAACAGTGAGAAATGGTTAACGTGACTAATGTAATGCTTTGCCTTTCTTATCGTGAGAGTATTTTAACACACCCCAACATGGCGAACAACTAAGATTAACAAAAAATGTAACTTTATATAAAGATGACGGTCTAGCAATTGAGTGGAGAAGGGAATTACTCTGAGGCAGCACGACAATTTGGTAAGAAGTCCAAAGCATCGACTACAAAAACTACACCAGCTGCTTGTGGCAAGTACTCATCCAGTTTGGGTCGAAGACGAGAATGTCCAGGAACATCAACAATATGAACAGGTTTTATCTTTCCCTTCTGTCAAAACCAAAGAAATGTATGATAATATTTGGCCTATTATTATTGTATGTCTGGCTTCACAATCATTAAACAACCATGAGACGACACACATAGTTTCAACAATCCAAAACATTCTTCAACCTCCATTAAGCATGGAACCCCGAACATGACACGGCACTGATACGGCGACACCGATAATAATTTAAAAAAATGAATAAATTAAATGTAATCAGAAGTGTCGGTGTCGTGTCAGAGACGGACACGCCTTTTTTCAGAGGTGTCGGTTCTACATGCCTGACAATAAAAGACAAATATATTCATTTTGTAGAGACGAGAAGCACAATATACATACCCAAAAAAGTTCAAACTGATACATTCAAACTGAGATTTGAGTGGAGGAGGTTAACATTACCTTTGTTGTTTCACCATGAAGAGTAAAAGTATCTTCGTTTGGTTCCATTGATGTAACAGTGCCTTGATGAGTAGATCCATCTCTAAGCTGACAAATGCACAAAATTGTGTCAAGAACATTACATTTGCGCAAATTCGAATAGAATGAAAGTTAATGGTAATATTACCTGCTAATGTAATAAGAAACTTTCAGTTTATGAACAACCACCTAACCCTAACTCTTCCTTTTCCTCACATACAATTATACAAGCAATATTTGTTCGTAAATAACTACAATTGCATGTCGCTTTATTACTACAAACTAGGCTACACTATGCAGTTCAAAACCGAATCGCTCACCATGGATTAGACCTAAAGAAATCAATTCATTTCTTGTTTTCAGATTCCAGAAAACAAATAATTCTTGCTGAAAACCTAAAACAGAAAACAGTATCCTACATTGCATTTCACTCACTGTACATAGCACAATTTCAGTTCATTCAAGCAATCTCTAAACCAAAACAATTTAGGTTTAACATCAAAAACCATAATCACCTGATAAAAGAGAACAGTTTTCCCACTGCCACTGAGTCCCGTTAACACAATAGTGTTAGACTTAGTGCGATTCAAAAACCTCACTACAGAAACCAAAAAAATCATCAATGAAAAGCTCAGAACCTAGCAAATAAATAGAAAATCAAGAACAAAACAAAGTGACTCACGTATGAGAAGAAGTAGGGTTGTGAAAACGGCGATAGCAACAGCGGCATAGAGTTGATTTGGGGGAAGCTCGCGAAGATAATCGTTTGCCACGTTCCAGAAATGAGAAACGTGTTCCTTCCATTGCTCTAACTCTTGCATTCTGAAACCCAAGGTTTTTCTTTTCTTCAAACTCGTTTTTTTTCCTTGGATCGCTTAAAAATAATTTTTTTATTATTCTAAGGATATTCCCGTTTTGGTTTATTATGCGCTTTTACCATATTAAACTATTTTTTTATTTCAAAACATAATAAATAGAGTCAACCTGTTTTTACTTTTTATTTATAGGATTAAGAATGCATATTTTTTATTCAAATAATTATGTTTTTCAAAAAAAAAATCTAATAACCAAATTTCCCCACTATTTTATAAAGTATCTATGTTTCAAACAAAAATGTTTGACAACGCAAAGTAAATTACACATAAATTGGTATCTGCATTTAAAAATTAAGAAGTGTCGTCAATTGAATTGACAAGTGCATATGGTCTAGTCAATTTAATTGATGTCAGTGCTTAATGTTAAGAGGAGACACTAATTTATCTGGCGCTTATGTACAAGATTTAAGTGGATACGTCAATTCATCTGACTATTATATGTTTGAATGCTTTTTTTAATATAAATAGAAGTGTCTTCTACCATTTATTCCACGCCTCTTCTCATTTTCTTCTTAATCTTTTCTTCACTAACTCTATCATGACTGTTAAAAAAAGTGGGTAAGTGCGTTTTTTCGTGAACCAAGTCTTCGATGAAGATGCATTTTTGAAATATCTAGAGTTTCGAGAAACTTGAGAGGAATTTTAAGTGTTGGTTAAACAGAAAGATTAATGATGGTGAAAGAATAAGAAGTATTGAGAGACTTATTTCGTTCATCTTTATTACTGATGAAAATGATGATATGCAGTGTATGTGGATGCGAGTTAAAGATGACAATGATGTTAGAGATATGATGTCTGCACTAGATGATATTGTTTTGATTATTATATTATCTTAAACATGTTATAGTGTTAAGTATTTTTATACGTTGTTTTTGTTGTTGTTTTAGGCATGTTTATATTCGTGTGTTGTTGTTTTAGGGGTGTTTATGTTAATTTTGTTATAACCAAAAGTAGTTGTAAATGTCAAGGTTACAAAAATTTAAACAAAAAACGAAACCATCGTGCATAGCTTGTTCCAACATTAGGCCAACATTTTGGAGTGTGTACAGGCTGACATCATACACCATATAAACTTATCATTTTGTTAGTTATGTCCATCTTAGTTCTAATACGTGTGTTGTCGGGGTGACCTTTTTTTCTTCCTTCACATATTTTTCGTTGTGCCAACTTATGTCTTCTTGATATGTAGGACAATATTCCTCCATTGCTACCACCGGAAAGCTATTGTTGTACACATTGAATATGTTTATGACTTTTATAAACTTCAGATAGATGTAAGGAAGCATCTCGACAAACATATGAACATGTCGTAATAACTTAGGAGCAAGACATGCAGAAGACTTGAAATTTTCGCAGTTGCAATGACATGTAAAATTAATGAACAATGGGCCTTTGACGATTGGAAAGACTTTGTTAGAGCTAAGTATCGTCAATGGCGTCGTCGTCAACGAGTCTTAACTGACGATGTCATGCCAATCGAATCTAAACAAACTAATAATTATATGGCTTGGTACATATCAGTTACAATTGAGTATTTCTCCAAAGATATGCATTTATACAATCCACGTCAAACCACTTACACACATGAAGCTTCAACGTCTAACCCCTTGTAAGAACAAGATTTAGTTTTGCAATATTATCTCTGAGTTTTGATGATAACAAATGAGTATGATTGTACGAACAATTTTGTTATACTAATGTTTGTTATTGTTGAGTACTTAACAAACAGGTTCTACTTCTGATGAATGGTGTGGCCAAGATATTAGAAGAGAATTGATTCCACTTCTATGCTACATAAGTTTTATTGAATAATAGCAAGACACTCTAGAAGACTCTGAAGTGTAAGCCCTGATATTTTTCTAAAGAAACCAGTCAAAAGATCTGAAGACATAAGTTGTTACTTACGTCCAGATGCTGAAGACTCGCATTTCTAAAAGACAGTGCGTTTCAAGAACAAAGTTAGAAGATCTGAAAACAAAGTTTCTACTGAAGTCCATATGCTAAAAACTAAGTTTCTAAAAGACAACTAGTTCCAAAGAAAACAAAGTTAAAAGATCTGAAGACAATATTTCTAACTGAAGTCCAGATGCTGAAGACTTTATGTTTCTAGTAACAAGGCTCTGAAGATAAGGATTCTTAAAGAACCAAGTGCTAAAGATTCCAAGACAGAAGGTCTGAAGATTCCAAAGACTTGAAGTTCTAAGGGTCCAAGGTTATCTACAAACAGGTTCTGAAGACCAGGTGCTGAAGATTTTAAAGATGCAGTTCTTAAGACTCTGAAGACTTGAAGCTCTTCTGATCTAAAGGTTCACTACAACGGATTCTCACGACCAAGTGTTGAAGACTCTGAAGACGCAGTTATTAAGACTCTGAAGACTTGAAGTTTTGAAGACCTTATGGTATTTTCTCGCTTCTAATCTCATACTCGCATAAGCCTCTGAAGTGCAGAAGGAAAGAATATAACGGTAACGCATTACAATAGTACAAAGTACGAAAAGCTTTATACCACTACCGCTCCACTAACTTAAAGTGTGGAAGAGATAAGAACTTTGCAATACTATTTGTAACGACTCTTTTTCAAATAGCCAACGACTCTATTTTCTTGGCTATATAAGAAAAGAATTGTATGTTTAAAATTGTTGGTTGGTTAGTTGTTGCTCAACACATGATGCTGAATATTGATGAGCTTGCCATAGGCTGCTTGGCTGGGTGCTAAAAGCTGCAAGTTGGAAATTACAGGTTGTTGATGTTAAAATGTTAAAAAGGAAAGCTGTCATTATTAGAACACAACCAAAAATCTATCAACCACTATAACAACAACTAGAACAACTGTTATCAAAATGATTCTTCAATCATGTTGATACTGGTTACAATGAAATCATAGATTCACAATGTGCTTAATATCATATGCTGCACAAAGCTTACTAAGTCGCAGAAGATAAAAAAAATGATCATGAAAGCTCCAGTTACATATCCACAACATAAATGTTGTGCTCTAAGGTGATCATTGAAGAAAGTAAAACAAGGGTTGTTGTGCAGAATGTTCTAAAGTGAATCTAGATGAAGAAGTTCTTCTCTTTACTATATCAAGATCAACAAAGCTTTCATAAGCTTATGAAGAAGTAGACTTCAACAATTCAAGTGCTTTGGGTTGTTGTTTGTGAAGAAGCTACTTGAAAAAAAGAAGACCACACATTGAAGCTACAATAAAATATAATATCTTTTAGTATGTATTAGGTTCTTATGATGTACTTAATTCTGTTTACATCTAACTTGTGTAGAAGCATTATTATCGTAAATAAATGTAAATCAAACAGTTGTTTGATGATTCCTTGAGAGACTCGGTTGAGTCAGAATTCTCAAGAAGACTTTGGCTACGGCCATCGTAGATGAAATCCTAGTAGTGGATTTTATTGGGTCAATGGTAGTCATATCTCAAAGAGGACTGGGTGAAGGTTAGCCTTCTGAGATCACTGATGGATATTATTGGAAGGAAATCTTGATAGGAGATTATGAAGAATCAGATTCTGTTGGGTCAATGAATGTTATATCCGGTTTGGATCCTTGAACGTTTCATTGGATGTTAGTCACCGGCGGTTGCCCGTGCGATTGTAATCAGATTGATTATAGTGGATTAAGTCCTTGAGTTCAAGGCGAAATCACCTCAGAAGGGTGGACTGGATTAGCTTGGGGGTTTCTCAAGTGAACCAGGATATATAGTGTGTTCTTTACTTTTGCTTATGCTTTAGAGTTTAAGTTTTCTGAACCAAATTAGAAGCATTAATTAGAAGCAACAATCAGAAGAATTGTTCAACTAATAATGCTTAGAAGCAAAAGTTTTTCGAGAAAGGAAAACCCAATTCAATCCCCCCCATTTCTTACATTTTCTTCATACCTTCAATTGGTATCAGAGCCCGGTTCTGTTATTGATGGATATTCAAACACATAACAGTGTCAGATAAAGATCCAGATGCTTTGTAAAGAAATATTCTAAGGTGATAGTTATTCAATTTTTAACTACTGTCTAAATCCAAAAAAATGAAGAACAAGCTAACAGGAAAAGATTCATCAGATAAGAAGTTATATTTGTTGAATGCTTTTGATTAAATTCCATTGAGAAATATGAGATGTTTTCAAGAAACTAATTAGTCCACCCTCGACTTTCTCATAAGACCTCATTAGGAGTCTTTTCAAAAGAAGAAAGGTTGTTATCTTATGATATATAAGAACCTCGTGATAAAACGTCTATTCAAGCATATAGATTATGCAGAAGATCTAATCATTGATTCTGTCAAAAGAGACTTTGCAAAAGTCAAGAAATTATCGAGGAAAGAACACTCATTTATTCATCTGAAGTATGATCAAAGAACTAACTCTAAACCAGTTAGCTCAGCATTACAAGAACAAGATTGTCAGTCAAAATCATCAAAATTTGATGATATTTGTATTGGAATAGATTCTGCAATTCGTTCAAGGAAACAAAGATTTCAGAAGACGTTAAGTAATGATAGTTAACTCTATCTAGAACATAGCTTCTCAGAAGTTCATGAAACATTGACCTTCTGAAAAATAAGCTTTTTCTCAAAGAAAAGCTTGACACGCAGATGGATGATTCTGATAATAAAAGATCATAATATCTTTGCTTTGAGAATTCTCTCAAAAAGGCCATACTGATAATTCTAAACAGAAGAATGACAAGACCGTCTGAAGAGAAGACTCTAATTCTAGTTCTCAGACTAAACATTAGATTTTATAAGAAGATTACTCTTCTCAAATCATAAAACTGAGAATAATAGGAATCAATACGAAGATAATTTATAACCTCTAGAAGACTGCTCTGAAGAAAGCATTGTTAGAACATAGTTTGATTCTACAACCCTTGTTTAGAGTTTTGATGATAACAAAATACAAAGAATAATTTATTTCAAAGATATATACAAAGAAAA